TGAATGAAGAGTTCTATTCTTTGACCTGAAAGTAAGCAATAGAGGCCCTGACTAAGGTAACAGAACTCTAGAATGACCAGTTCTTCCTCTGGAATATATTACCTGTGGGGACTGTTCTACAAGCCATTATCCCAACAATCTTACTCAGAGTCAGCCCAAAGACAGGTTGACTCCCAAGATAGCCAGCAGTACTTAGCAAACTTCTTTACTGAAGCAGGTGTTCATATTTTCTGCAAAGGGGCAGTATAGCAAAATGGTTTAAAACTCACAACTTGCTGTCAAACGTTCTGACTTAGTGACTTGGTTTTGCTTAGAGCTAACTGTGTATGTAACCTCTTATAAAGTTATTTATTTCTTCACACCTGACCTTTTCCAGTTATTTGTAATAAACAATAATCACTTCATGTGTTAGTTGAAAAAATCAAATGAGATTTTATATATGTATATATAAAGTACATTGCATAACACCTGATACATATTAAAAGCTCCTCAAATTTTAATTGTTAGTGCTGCCATTACTGCTCTTAAAGACTCCTAGTCAGGAGGCATCCTCAACAAGGCATTTCTTGTTCAACTTTGCAAGGCTCTCATGTAGACATTCTTTCATTCTCTCCCAATGCTAGAGTGGTGTCATTCTTATGCCATCTTTACTTTTTTTGCATCTAGATGTCTAAATTGGGTCAGACAACCCATTTTAACCTACTACCATTTAAAAATTTATAGCACAGAAATTTATAACCAGAGTTCATTTTGCAATACTTCACTCACTTTTTAAAAATGTCTATGGAGGGCCTTCCCGGTGGCGCAGCGGTTGAGCGCTGGGTTGCGAAGCTGCCCCCGGCCTCTGCGGCGCCGGTTTGATCCCTGGCTGCTCCCCGGCCACCAGAGGAGGGTCCCACATGGCACGCAGACCTCTCCTGCCGCCCGCTGCTCCCCTCAGCAGTGTACTTCGGTCCTTCTGCCTGCTCTGCTCCCCGCTCTGGCTCTGGTGAATTCTCTCACCTTCCCACGCCCAGTGCATGTATAAACAAAAACAAACAAACAAACAAATAAATAAATAAAACATGCCTCTATAAAAAAAAAATGTCTATGGAGTCTTATTCTTTTTCTTCCTCCTTTTCACCTCAACCCCTTTTGGATCATTGAGACCAAGAACTGAATTAATTATATGTTAAGCTCTATAACTCTTAAATTCCATGCTTTTTAAAAATTAGTATTGTTTTGTGGAGGGGCATTTAATTTATAAGAAGATATTATGCTATTAACATCAACATTATATTTTAAAACTCTTGCTTTTTATGAACTTTTTATGATTAGTTGTGCTTCTATTAACTATATTTAATTATCTATTCACCAAGGGATAGATACCTAAATTACCATTATTTCCACACTATCACACAACATACTGCAATTAACATATTCTTAATTACCTTTTTCAGATAGGAAGATCCCATTGGTTCAAACTGAAATGCTTTTGAAATTGAAGGGGACTATTTCAATTATACTGCGCCAGCAGGTGTACATCAAGACATCCAAATAAACTAGGATATGTGTTCTACCCTATTTGTGGAAGATTTTCCTGGGACACAACTGATAATCAGCATATATGTACTAGGATAGCCTTCCCCTTTTGGTCATTTCTAGCTGGTATCTGTTGCAGTTTGTCAGCACATGTACTGGGCTGATTGTACATATTTTAAGTACCACCCTTGCTAGAAGCAGTTTATAAGGGAGACTTCTGGGTCACAGGTTATGGACCAACTTAATTTCAATAAGTAAGTTCCAATCCAGTTTTGTCCTATTAATAGATGGATAAACTTTTTAATCTATCTTTCAGGACTTGCCATAATGTTTATTTAATAATATTTTTGTACTTAGCAATATTTGTTTATTCATTCTTTTGCCATCAAACTTACCTACTTTGGGGCCGTTACAGGCACTATTAGCTTATTAACAACTACTTGTAGTGCCTTAACCCAATATAGCAACAACTAAACAATTACAAAGGAATTTTTCAGATCTTATTTTATTGGATCCTAACTCTTATATTTTGAGGTAAAGAGGGCAGAAATTGTAATCCTTATGCTGCAGAAAAGGAAATTGAGGATCAGAGGTACACTGACTTGTTTTTAGTCCACGTGTGTCTGACAAGTTATGGAGTTGAATTTAGAATCAGGTTTTCTGACTTTAATATGCTTCTTCAAAATCTAAAAGGGCAAAGAAAAGGATAAATTTCTGTGGTAGGGACTGTCCCTACCACAGGCAGAGACAGGCAGGGTCTGTTCTGTTTTAGCTTTGTTTCTGGGAATATAACTCAGTGCCTGACATATAGTAAATGATCGATAATTTTCAGTGAATTGGGTGTTATGTAGGTATTCACATATGTGTGATTTTTAACAGGAAAAAAATCAAACTAGCTTTGATTTTTTAACTGGAATTTTAAAGCTACTCAGTGTGTTGGGACCCCTGCTAATTGCAGAAATGCTATATGTTACTGTAAATTTGGTCCTATAAAAGTCTAGTTGGAGGAGGGAACTTCATGTAAGTCCAGGAATTATAATGTTATGAGATGGTTCATTTACAACTTAAGTAGTGATAGGTTATAACCATGTCTCTATAGTGTGATTTCTGGTGAGAGGGGGGCAGTAAACTGCAGTTGTTTGTTCATTGAAAATAAACAATCAGTAAGATTTCGTCTACTCTCCTTTTTTTCGACTTCTTTCTATAGCTTTGAATACCAGTAGCAGAGTCTCTCCTTTTTCTAACTACTATATTGCATTTAGCAACTTAACACATACTTTCTGTTCCCAAGAACCCCAGAGGCAGCTGTACTGTTTAATGAGGATGTTGGATTTCATTGAAACATTTTCTCCAAATAGTTGAGAAAGGCTGGTTGGCCTCCGTCGCCTTTCTCAAATATGTCACAGTTTTTGAAGTCATTTCAAAGCCTTTTTTAATCAGACTGCACCTACCTTTCCATCTTATTTCAAATAAATAGCCACCATTCCCTTTCCAATACGTCCCCTGCCAACACTAATACAAATTCAGAGTTACCATTTAATAACTTAACATTTTCATACCCTACCCTTCAAGGAAGTTGAAATAGGCATCTTTCAGAAGTAGCTCATTCTATCTTGTATCTTAAATCCTTCTTTTCATTCTCCAACTGCAGATACTCTGTGTATAAGCCACACTATAAATTATGTTTCCTACTGCATCTCTCTTTAGCCATGTGTTTCCTTAAATCACGGATTGATTTGGGAGTGCTTATTTTAATACTGTGAGTTTTGATTTTTTTTAAAGATTTATTTACTTATGCATACAAGAACAGGGATACAGGTCAGAGGTGCAGAGGGTGAGAGTATTCACCAGAGACAGAGTGGGGAACAGAACAGGCAGACTAACTGGAATACACTGCTGAGGGGAGCTGCAGGCGAATCAGGAGAGGTCTGCTGTGCCATGTGGGTAGCTCCCTGGCCGGCTGGGGATCAAACTTGTGCTCCATTGGCTGCGGATAGCTTCATAGTGCTGTGCTTAACCCCTTGCACCAGGGAGGCCCTAATACTGTGAGTTTTATATATAGAAGATTCCATACCACTAATTGGGAACACTTTTTTTTTTTTTTTAAAGAAAATCGACATCTATCTCTTAAGTATTTTTCTATTGAAGCCTGTAGGTGGCTAGTGACTGTAGCTACCTATGTCTTTAAATTGTGCTGCCAAGTTTTTGCTTTTCAATTGTTTCCAAACTATCTCCTTTCTCTTTCTACTATGATTCCTAAGTCTATAGTTCCTAACATAAAGAAAACCTTATGGAAGTGCCTTTCTTTTCTTTTAATGCAGCAGTAAAATTCCTTTAGGGCTGTAAAGTGAAATCCTTCCCATGACTTAGTGGTTGGTCCATGGAATTACTATTTTGGTAGTCAGTTTCTTTTCTTTTTAAAATTTAATTTAATTGTAATAAAACACACTTAACTGAGATCTCCTCTCTTAATAGATTTTTCAGGTGTAATACAATACTGTTATCTGTGGGCACAGTGTTGTACACCAGATCTCTAAAATGTATTCATCTTGCAGAACTGAAATTTTATGACTGTTAATATAGCCACTCATAGAAATGAAGAATAGAATGGTGCTTGCCAGGGGATATTGGGGATGGGGGTAAATGGAGAGTTGCTGGAGGGAGGGGAAATGGTGAGTTGCTAATCAATGGGTAGTCCATTTTCTACAGTGAATAAATCTGGGTAATCATTGTACCCAAGTATGTGATTGTTTGCTCTTGAGATAGAAAAGGAGAAAAGAGTGGATTTGTTGATTTAGTCCTGTCATGAAACATCACTTACTTACTTTTTAGTTCCCAGGTTTTTTGCCAACACCTACACTACTACCCCTTCAACTCAAAAATAAATAAATAAACAAATAAATAAATAAATGAAACCCCCAAGATCATTTCTTCCAAAATTTCATCATTTTCAAACTCTCCCAAAGGTTGGGAGAAGAGAAGTTTGGAGGGGAAGGTTTTGTTAGGATTATCTCTCCCATTGAATTAGGAACAGTTTATTTGCGAAGTAGTTAAAAACATAGCTGACCATGAACACAGCGAATCCTGTTATATTTATAACACAAAAGTCGAGAGGTTGGGTCCTCTGAATACTACCAACAGTATCAAAATCAAATGTGAACAGAAGCACATCTTATAAGAATTGCCATTATTCTTAAAATGAATTTAATATAGATTATTCTTTTTCTATTCAGTAAACCATGTTGATGACTGTATTTTAGTCCTGCCTAATCTGGGTGGGAAAATCTGAATACTCTTGACCTCTGTGGATGATGCTGTTCACCGACCTTACTGTGACTATTTACCAGCTACTTGGCAGTCTAACTCAAGAACACCCCCGTACCACTAGGTCTTTCTTTTCTCTTCCTCCTGTTCTTCTCTAATCCCTTTCTTTCATCTTCACTCCCATCTCCTTCACAAATCCTCCATGATTTTCTTAGGGCTGGGCTTCAACATCGTCGGTGGGACAGATCAGCAGTATGTCTCCAACGACAGTGGCATCTACGTCAGCCGCATCAAAGAAAATGGGGCTGCGGCCCTGGATGGGCGGCTCCAGGAGGGTGATAAGATCCTCTCGGTGAGAATTGGCTTTGGTCTTCTTCACAGTCCCTTGGTCCCTAGATTTTAGTTCCTATCCCTGACCCCTTGGGAAGATTCCTCCCTGCCTTTTGGATCTGGAACTATCTAGACCTTGATCAGTCATCTTTTCCAGCCCTACCATAGAGCCTGAAGGATATTATTTGACATACAAGGCAAATTTTAAGTCCAAAATAAGTCATATACCCGGGTTCCTAAAAGGTAAACCAGGAAGGGGTGAACAACTGATGTAGGAGAAAGGAACTTAAAATCTAGGTTATTATTCTTGCATTAAACTTGATCATGTTCCTTTTGTTGATTAACACTAATGTGTGCCTCCCTTTAATTCACAAGGAACAATAAAAGACAGTAAGAATTAAGTGCTATTTTAAACTCTGAGCCCTTTTTTCACCCATTATTAAGATGAAAAATTAGAAGGCAGTGTGATTAGGATATCTGCCTACTGTGTTTTCATTTCATTTTGCTTATGTCTGTAGTGAGATGTTATTTATTATTTTCTGCAATTTCCTCTATGGCAAGGACCAGATTTCTCTCTTCTCTCCCCCCGCCCCTTTTTTAACCTTTTATATCCTAGCACAATGCTTGACAAATGAACAGATTAGGAAAATTCAGGCAAACCCAGAAAGGTTGACTGATCCAGAATATAAATGTGTTATCATGGGTAGTGATATCCCATTTTAGTCTTTCTATTTTGCCTTTTTTCAGTCCATTAAACGACTCCTACTATGCCCTATTTATTTGTGAGATAGAGACAGTGACACTCTATCTTTTATCTTAAAATGGTGTTGAGCAATTTAGAGGCAGATTATTTCCTATAGCTCCCAAGAGAAAGATGTTCTAAAAACATTAAATCAGCTGGAGTGGTATATTAAGGAAAACAGGGGGTTGTTTAAAAAAAAAAAAAAGTATAGCATTATAGTTAGAAATTATGCAGTTTTAATGTTTTGACACATTCCACATTCTCTCTAAAACACTAAGACCTGAGTTCCATGGGCAAAGAGGAACTTAAAAAGTATAGGGGTTAAGAAGAGAGCATATTAATTAAAAAGCTATAGTTAAATTATTGGAAAAATAGGTAAATTATTAAAAAATGTGAATGGTTAGAAGTTTTTTTTTTTAAACTAAGGTTGTATTGGGGTATGCCCAGCAGGTATTAATCACCATAGTATACCCACCAACTCTTTTGAACACTGTATACCAAGCAATATGATGCGAACTTTAAACTTAATATTGTAATAAAGCTATTAGGTGTTTATTAATTATGCTGTCACCACTATTATGCTATGTTGTAGCCATGGAAACTGGGGCTTGGTGAGGTCAAGCAGCTTGCCCAAGGTCACACAACTAGTAAGTGGCAGAGGACTAAATCTTTGATCTGTCTGAATTTGGAGCCTCTACTCTTAACCAGAATACTATACCGCCTCCTAAAAAGTAAGAGAGGAGCTAGAATGTTATTCTAAACAGAAAGTTGCGTGGTGAATTAATAGATTTTATATACAGTTTTACGTCAAAACTAAGCTTAGTCTTTCTATAAAGGGTAGAATTAGAGAAAGGAAAAAAAGGACATAGACCTCAGGGTGAGAGAATTTATTAGATAGAAGCTGAGACGAGGCACCTTTCTTATGTAGGCCATTGCCTCATAGAGAAAAGAAGAATTGAAAGACCAGTTAAGTTTTTTGAAAATGTGTGGCAGGAGATAAATTGTCAATAAAGAGATCGATGTTTAAAAAATTAAAAGTGATAGCAAAGAGAATTTTATCAAAATAAAAGGAATGAAGATCTATACAAGATATTACATACTACTAATATATGTAAGACATTACAAAGAATGATTGAAGTTTATGTTCTGGCTAGCTAAGGAAAGGACATGTGAAGAAAGGGAGGAGGAAATGACAGATGAAGGAAAAACAAAGTAGAAGACAGGTATGAAGAAAAATAAAGGAGACAGAGAAAGAGAAAAAGATACATCTACTAGAGGAAAAGGCCAGCATAAGCTCTTCATTCTATCTAGAGCTATATTCTTTGACTCATTTCCCTTCCAAGAATTTGCTCCAAAATTCTTCTGCTTCTGTTACCACATGTGCCATCCTATTCCCTGTCTATCCTTCAGTGAACTAACTGGGTATTAACCACTAAATGGTTCCATTTATTCTTAAGCTCACTGTTTCTGTTTGATATACTGTTTATATCTGTTTGATATATATATCTGTTTGATATACTTAAGTATTTGGTGGCTTTGAATGACTGTAAAATGACACAATTATTAGTTTATATTCCCATTTATTCTATATGATCTTTCCTATTGTTATATGTGATATTTTCCCATGTTGAAAAATGTGTCCAACTCTTTCATTTAATTTTTGTTAGATAATCAAACTAAAAATACGTTTCTTCTTAATACATATTCATTTTGGATAACTAACAGAAGCATCACTATATAATCTAGATTTCTTGTGAGTTGTTAAATAATAATACCCTAAACAATACCCATGCTTTGTCTTAATTTCAAGCTCTAAAATTAAATAACTTCATGAATTATGTAGTTTCCTTTTTCTCATGAAAAGTGAAATTTAATTTTTTTTAAGATTTATTTATTCATGCATACAAGAATCAGGGCACAGGCCAGATGTGCAGGAGGGTGAGAGGAATCACCAGAGAGAGTGGGGAGCAGAACAGGCAGATCTACTGAAATGCACTGTTGAGGGGAGCAGCGGGCAAAACAGGAGGGAGGTCGGCCACCCCGTGTGGATATCTCCGCATCCAGCCAGGATCAAACCTGCACTGCAGAGACTGCGGACAGCGTCACAGCACTACACTCAACCGCCTGTGCCACCAGGGAGGCCCTGATATTTACTTTTTTTATGATCACTTTGAATGGCTTAAACTAAGAAGAAAAGATTTTTTAAGTAATGTAAATGACTTTCAAGGTCCTTTTGCATCTGACAACCATAAAACAAAAACAAATACTGCCAATAGAAAAACAGACCTGAAGTTGAGATGAGAGCTGGAGATTTCTCACTCAAAGTTCATTTTGTATATATGATAGTGAAGATGGCTTATTTTATGTACAACTTACCAAGAAACTTGGGGAAATTTTTTTTTGTGGGGGGAAAAAAGTAAACTATCTTAAGTTTCTCATTTCCCCTGTGTGTGCCTAAATGAAGAAAGATGGATAGTCAGGAATAGTCAGTTCTCAGTGAACTGTGTATTTTGATGAACTTCAGGGTGATGTGTTTAATTATTGTACTACACAAGTAAATGTTTCATTATATAATAACATGTCACAAATTGGGCCGTTAGTCAACTAACTCATTCTCTGCAGATGCAATTCTTAATTGTGGCAAATAAAAGAGTTGAGAAGTCATCAACATTTATCAACTATTGATGGGCGCTAGAGCACTGTGCCAGGTGATAGAAATTAAAAGAAAATGAAAGCCTGGTCTGTGCCCTTAGCTTAGACATCAGTGGGAAAGACTCACCAGAAACCCTCATGCAGAGACATTGAAATTTACAGAATCCTTTAGACATTGTGCCTCCAGAGAAGGAGAGTCTTTATCTTTTCCTCTCTATATCCCTAGCATGTAAGCCTCTAGCTGGCATTGAGTAAGCTAGAGGCTTGTTGTGTTAGCTCTTCTGCGAATGAATTATGACATAACTGACTTTTTTTGGCTGGACCGGATTAATCGAAACTAGATAATCTATTTTTTCCTTCAACTTTGATGAAAAAAGAGACCCTCCACTCCCTGCCAAAATAAATATTTTGATCCATTTCAGGATCTTGGTAAAAAATTTAAAATATCCAGAGCATAATCTAAGGTCAATGCTTTTAAAATTGATCCCATTCTTTCCCTATATCTTATACATCTCCACCTGTATTATCCTACAGTCAGCGCTCTCATAACTCTTAACATTATCCTGAGATATTACCCTATCCTGAGGCAATTCAAAATTGCCACACCAAAGAAAACCAAGCCTAAGATAAGAAATAGGTAGCTCATTTTTAGAAGACTTCCTACAACCATAGATAAAGCAAAAATGTGTATGCTTCCTTTTCAGTTAACTGGAACATCACCCCTCCAGTTTTCATTACAGTCAGCAAAATTTTCTAGCATGTGGCAAATCTACCATAGCTCAGTTTGAGTCAAATTTAAACTATGCCGGGCCTCCCTGGTGGTGGCGGTGCAAGGTGTTAAGATGCAATCTGTGAAGCAGTCCGCAGCCACTGCAGCACAAGTTCAATCCCCGGCTGGCCAGGGAGCAACTCACATGACGCAGCAGACCTCTCCTGACTAGCCCGCTGCTCCTCTCAGCAGTGTACTTCAGTCAATCTGAATGTTCTGTTCCCTGCTCTCTCTGGTGAATCCTCTCACCCTCTGTACCTCTGGCCTGTACCCCAACTCTTGTACGCATAAATAAATAAATCTTTTAAAAAACAAAAAAACAAGTTTACACTATGCCACCAGTTAAGAAAGCTGAAATAACAAGTGTAACAGTATTCTAAGATTCCTCAGCCTTGTCACTCTTGGTACTAAAAGTGAAATCCAGGGCCTGTCTAGCTATAACCTAGGAGCTTGTTAGAAATGTAGAGTATTGGGAACCTCCTCAGACCTACTCAAATCAAAAGCAGCATTATAATAAGATCCATAGGTGAGTCTGTGAGTAAAGATTGAGAAGCACTGCTATAGGCAGGTATTTTTCAAGTCTTTTAAATTGTGATCTGTAATAGGAAATACACTTGCACACATAGACACACACATAATGTAATGATTAGCAAAATACTTCTTTCTTTTACATGTGATATGTTGTGTTTTTAAAAGATTTTCACTTTTTAAAAATTAAATCATGGTCTTGATCCCACTGCATTGACTTCAGAATTTTGTGCAATTGGTCAAGAGACCCATATTTGAAAAAACACTGCTCTAATGAATGAAAAATCACTGATGAAATCTGTGGATGCATAGACTATGTATTAAACCAGTT